ACTCCTAATCACTTAGCATCTACACCAATCATCTGCATTAATTTAATTTAATCAACTGCATGAATTTACTTAAAAAACCCTTATTTAAAGATTTCTGTCATCCATACTTATTCAGACAACATAAATATATATATATATATATATATATATATATATATATATATATATATATATATATATATATATTCTAACATATGACCACTGGTGTAAGTGCAACCCATCAAAATTTTAGTGATTAAATTATGTGTAAACTTTAAGAACTCTTTAACCCAAAACTAATTTCGCTGAACTTAGCAGGTTTTTACAGTATACCCTTGATATAAGAGTTAATGATAGTTAAATGGCTAAACATGTTTTCTTGACTCATAACGAAGAACACTCTTGATTAAGTTACCTTTTAAACAAAAAAACTAAATCAAAATCCGTTCATCAATTTGGTAGCTACAATGTCACAGACAAATCGACCGTTTGTTCTTGTTGGGGGTTAATCATACCTCTTTATGTGCAAAATCACATATTCATATCCATTCTACTATAGATAAAAAGCTTAACACTTTACCCGACCTGAGAATTGAATCCAAGACCTCACACATGTCATCATTGCATTTTCAAAAATAGACATTAACTATATATATTATGTAAGTAAAAAACAAATAATTGCTGATCCTTGTCTGCTAATTTAAATAAATTTTTGTCTCTATTTCACATGTAGTAATATTAATTGAGACAAAACAAGAATGCTTGCAATTTTATGTTATATTACATTATTTTTAATTTTTAAATAAAGATAAGATTAAGATTTAATAATGAAATTAAGATGTTACCTGGTAAAAGAAGTACAGGAATTGCAAATTTGGATAATCTATTTCTTGGATACTTATAAATGTCTTCAAAATGTTTATGACAGACATGTCTGTTAATATAAACATCTAAAATATCCATTGTAGCTACATGACCACCAATTTTGGAAATCCAACTATTGAATTTTTCTGCATTTTGGTCTGGATTTGAAAAGTGGTGTAGTGGTATTCCTGAGAAATAAAATAGTATAATTAATTTTTTTACATCCTCATTCAATAATCTAATACAATAAACTGCACAGATCTTAAGTGCTGACCTTGGTAAAACTATAGACATCCAGTATTTGCATACGGGGGGCGGGAGGGGGATGGGGTGGGTTCATGGGAAGTCCTTCCTGCCCTTCCCCCTTGCAGAAAAGTATAGTTTGTGAGTAATTATTTTTTTGTAAAACCTTTTTACACAGGAATATTGAACCAAAGTTACTTCTGCACATCTATGCACTGCGGAAAGGGCATCCTCTTCGCCCATGCGTAGCAAATCACATGCACCTATGCTCACCTCCGTACCTTTGGTTATTTTGCATATTGGTCGCCTTTGGCTTCCAGTCACAGCCCCTACGGCTCGCCCAGGTTCCGATGATTTGCTACGGCGGGCGGGGGCTGCTCTTCCTCCGCGCGTACGGCTTTACAAAAACACTATAAGGTCTACAGCCAACTCCTGACCTTAACCTGTGCAGAAATTATTTTTCCGTGATACCCTTGTATTTACCACAAGTGTATGATGCACACACTGATTCCCCCCTTATACACAGCGCTTAGATCCGTGCCGGGCCCTGTACAATAGATATAGTACAGGAGTTTGATGTAAAGTAGTGTTAAAAAATACATACCATCATTATTGTCGTCAGACAACCAGGTACACAACAAGAATTCTGTGACATTATGGATGCTTTCACAGAAACTTTACAAGTTTATTTGAAATACGGAGGAACAGAGGTTTAACTTAACGTGGTTAACTGATTCACTTATGTCGCCTCTACACGTTGGCCAACACAGTGGCGAATGGAGTGGCGAATATATTGGCCGAGAGTTGGGGACGGCGTCCACACGTTGGAAGGTCGTTCAGTTTACTTCGGTTCGGGCCAATGTGCGGACGAATTTATAAGCACCGTGGCGCAGTGGCTCAGCAATGAGTGGCTGCGCCGGGCGCCGCGGGTTTGATACAGTGCGGAACAAGTATTTGTATATCCTACAAATAATTGTTTCGGGTCTGACTGTGTGCCCTTGTGCAATTTATGTTTGTAAACTGCCCGCGCGATACGGGAGAAAATCCTAGTGTGGGGTTAACGTTTTTATAAAAGAATTATAAAATAATAGTGGATATTAATGGGGCTGTAAATAGAGCGACTAGCTTTATTTATTCTTTACATGCATCAGAAACTGGAATAAATACCATTAATTAGAACTTAACTTATTTTAAAGTTAAAGGAGTTATAATCGATTAGTCTATGTTTTAAAATTGTGTTTTGATTTTAAAGTTTAGCAAAATATGTACTTGCATTTCTATCAGACATTTGATGTATATAAAAAACACCTTATAATTTATTTGGTAATTTAATTATTTTTTGAGAAAGACAAAAACAATAGCAATAAATATAATTAACACTGACTTAATAATAGGTACTAATTATAACTTAGAACATAAATGAAAAACTCATGATGAGCAAAGTGGCTCAGGACCATGCTTTGCGGCAGTCTGTGGAGGAGGATGTTCAGTAGTGGACTTGTGAACAGCTGTAATGATGATGATGATGATTCGAAATCTTGCACGATTAAATTATAAGATATCGACATTTTTTTTATAGGATAGGGTGACAAACGAGCACACAGTTCACCTGATGGTAAGTGGTAACTGTGGCCCACAGACATCTACATCTATCCTCGATTACGAATCAAAATACAGATGCGTTGTCACCCGTGGGGACTAAGATGAAATGCCTCGTTTCCTTTAAAAAGGGTCTCTGGTTCTCTACACTCACTATACGAAACACAGCATCATTAAGCTACTATTTTACGCCGATATTCTGTGAGAGCGTGGTCCTTCCCCGGTCGAGCCGACCTTCGTGCTGCAACTATACTTCTAATATAATTGCATGGTTCTACCACGTATAAACGACGTGCTTCATTTTTTTTTCATTTTAAAATTGTTCTCGTAATAATCTGATTGTAAAAAAAACGTTATTTTTTTTAAAAAATAGCTTATTGATTAAAACAAATGTTTAATAATAATTAAATCGCGCTAATTAAAGTAGCAGGAATGTTTAAAGTTGAAATTGGCACTAAAAAGGCTGGTAATTGGGCCATTCACCCTACAAATCTTGAATATAAAATTTAAATCAGATGCGTGTAATCACTCTGGGAGCTTGTAGCAAACTAAACGCGCGGCCAACGTGTGGACGCGGCGACCAAACTCTGCCAACAATCCTTTGATCTTTTGTAAAAAACCGACACCACACGGATCTCGCGCCAACTTGCGGGCCATCGTTCCAATACATACCAATGCAGCCCAAACACCCCGTCTACACGTTGGCCAATGCTATTGGCCACTACATTCGCCACTGTGTTGGCCAACGTGTAGAGGCGCCGTTACGAAACACCAAAATAAATTGCAAAGCCAAAATACGTAAAAAATCATAGATAAATAAATATGTAGCAAGCTAGTAAAAAATATGTAATCTTTCAGTGTTGCCAGATTTTTTCACCTCCCCCCCCCAGATTTTTTCAAAAAACCCCTAGTTTCCCTATGTTTATTATGACAATTTTCGTGTGAATCAGATTTATCAAAAATAAAAAAGTTACTACTACACACAAACTACGTAATATTAACAATTAAAACTAAGTTAATTTTTAAAGTTTTTATTGTTTTCATCTCCTACGCATTTCGTCAACCATGTCTTGAACACTTCTTCATCCTCCCAAGATATTTTATATTTTTGAGAGTACTGTTTGATTTTATTCAGAAGAGACATCTTGGAATAATTAATTACCGTAAAACCTGCCAACATTGGCCACATTTTGCACTTAATCAACTTTAAATCCAAAAAACTGTTAGTAAAGTATTAGTTTTTCATATTTGTTTAACACCAGAAACCTCAACTGTTGATGTTAATTCACGGAAATTGCGAAAATTAGGACAGTTTCTTACCTAAAAATATATTTTTTTAGTCGGCCAAAACTACACCAGCTTTCTGTCAACATTAGCCACTGCTTATAACTCTTGAATTATAGTCTCAATGCCGTTTACTTTAAGAACTATGACAGGAAACTGGCCAAAGAAGACGTATAAAAGGCAATAATCACAAAAAGTTAAATATTTTGGCTTACAGCGAGGTGGCCAAAGATACCCGAAACTTTTTTTTAAATTTCCATACAAAACAGTTTTAGACTCAGGGTTGTCAATTTTTTTAATTATTATATATTGGTTGGTTGTTTTACAAAAAAAAAAAAAAAAAACATGTTTTAATCAATCGCATTTTATTATATGAGATTTATTTGGTACAACATTAGCATATAAAATATGGCACTTTTACTAAGCAAGTAGACAACAACATAGACTATGAAATTATATCAAGTATTAAATGGTTATGAGTAAGTACTTAAATTACTATCACGTATTTGTGAGATCAAAATTCTTAAAAAAAAAGATTCATTTTTCATATTAGTAATCTCAAGACTACTTAACCATCACGTTGAGGTGAAAGAGAAAACTCAAATTTATAAATAAAAACATATATAACAATAGGTACCAAGCTTAAAGTGTTTATTTAGAACCTAGGTACCTACTGAAAACAAAAAAAATAAATGAAAAACATACTTTAGGAACTTTAGGAAACACAACACAAGACATAATATCAAATTCTTAAAAGTACACAGAATCCTTATCACACATTAATGCATATTCTTCAGGATTTTCATTGAATTGTAAAAGTTCTATAATTTTAACAATGTTACTTTCTGGTACGGCTATATCTCGATCAAAGAGCTTAGGTTTAATAAATTTAATATCATCCGAATCCTTTGTTTTTATGCATTTGTAATAAGATATATTAAAAGTTTTTGAATTGTCATTAACACTTTCAATTAATCCTACATAGTACTTCCATTTATTTGACTGATAGTATCTTACCAACACTTTTTCTCCTAATTCATAATACTCTTTTTCTTTGAATTCTTGTCAATTTGATTTATATCTTCTTTTATTATTTGTTTATCCATATTTATAGATTCTTCCATATTTATACATTCATCAATATTTGTAGACTCTTCATACATCCACATACTTATTTCAAAATTTGTAACATCACTAAGTACTTCAATTATGTCAGAATCACTATGAGTGCTAATCCAATCTTCTTTAGTAGTTGTAGAACCATCTAGAGATTTTCTTGGTCTCTTAACTGGTTTGACGTTTTCCTTTTTGACAGTTTTTCTCAAACGACGTTTTTTCTTCCTTTTTTTACTGCTAGTCTTCTCTCTGCTATTTGCAGAACAACTCATAACATCCATAATATCCTGATTATCGTCACTACTTAAAACACCATGAACATTAATATTAAAAGCAATATTATCTATTTTTCTTATCTTACCATCCGAATTTTCAGTACGTGGTTTTTCTATGATAATATTGTGTTCTGAAGGAAAAGTTTGCGATAAAATGTTAAAGCTTGTATCAATTCCTTTAAAGTATTTAGTTTTAGTTTTTGCAATAAGCTCAGTCTTATATTCTGCTAAAATGATGTCGGATAGAATATTTATCTTTTTGAGCTTGTCTTGGTCTTTTATCGAAATCACGGGTAAATCAGTTTCAAATACTAAATTAGTGTTTTTGTGGCTTCCATGAGACCCGTTTTTTCGTTTAAAATATAACTAATGTTATAATTGTAATTTTTATTAAAATTCTCGAGTGAGACGCTTGCGAGTGAGGCAGCAGGATCTACCTTCGTGAGTGTCGTAGTATTCTTGGATGACTTAACTTTGCCTCGTACATTCGATTTTGAGAGTTGGGAAGTCAGCACTAAATCATCGACTGTTACTGATTTTCTAGGTACAGTCATAACTTTCTTGTTTCTTTTTGTTATCATAGGATTTGGCTGCCTGATCTGCTTTAAGTAGTCAGCAATGCATTGTCAATCCCATATGATGCCACATCTTCTTGATACTCTGGTACACGCTTCAGTACTTCTCTTGGGTTGAATGGGTAGATCCCCGTTTCTCTGAATCCGCTTTTGATATTTTTAGATGAATATATTTCAACTTGATCAACTAAAGAATGTAAAAGTTTTGGGAAATGATTCTTATTCAGAGTAGTTTGGTTGGGATTTTCCATTTTGTACTTGAGTAATATTGCTCGCCACACTTTTTTAAGTGGTGCAAAAAAAGCGACGTCAAGGGGTTGTGTTATGTGTGTCGAGCTAGATGGAATGAAAACAAACTGAATATTGTGACACTCACATAACTCGATAACACTCACATTTAAGTGGCTTGATAAATTATCGCATATAATGACCTTTTTAGCAGGTAAAGACTTTGCCCAATCCATAATAGTTGTGTTAAAGTAATCTTCAAAAACAAAAGAATCAAACCACCCAGATCTTATGCGGTTATACCTAGTATCACGCGGCCCGCCCTGTATACATTCAGAATATAAATTCTCTGCCTTATAGACAACGTAAATAGGTAGCAAGCTCCCGTTCGCTGTAACTGAGAATGGTGGAGCCACGTGTTTAAGGCTGCCGAAAATCTAGTTCCCCGGTCAAACCTCAAACCTATTACGCGAGATATTAACTAAAGTGGACTGTATATGCGATTGCTTCTACGCTTACGTAAAGCGACTACTATAGCATGCGGTACAATGCACTCGCTCTTCCCTAAACTAAACTATTACTTGTCGAATCGATGAAAGGAATCCTGCTTGATTAGGAAAAAAAAACACAGATTGGAGCGGGTTAAACTATTAGCAAGCAGGTATAATTAAGGAATATTGACTCACCGGGGTTTCTTCTTCCTGTCGATCACTATAGCGACTTCTGGAACACTCCGGAGAGAGGCGGTGCGCGACGATATCTCACACGAGGTGAGGCGGGTTCCTGGAGCTCGACTGCTTCCAGGCCAAAGCGGTTTCCACTAGTGAGGTGTTTCCAAACGAGCGCGCGGGAAGAGGAGGTTGTAGTTCAACGACGACTGCGGCGGGAGAAGAGGCTCGCGCATCGGTCGCGCGTGTCTTATATATCCTCGGCTCGGGTGATTACGCGATGTTCTAGAATCGTCTTCTTTCCCCTCCCACCCCACCACCCCGATGTGTCGATAGGAGGGTACGAATGATATTGTTTGGAAAGGAATAATGATTCTACAAGTTCCTACCGTCAAATAAAAAACGCGAATGGTTTTCCGCGCAACCATCTCCCCCGCCCTTGAAGGATTTCCTTCAAAAAAAAATAACTAAACAACTAGAGCTAAGATCGACTAACAAATAACTAACTAACGCTAAGATTACCTAAATTAAACTACAATTTCAATCTAGAAAGCTAATTTAAATTATGGAAGAGGCAAGGGGCACAAACGGATAACAGGACGTAGGTAAGACCCAACCGTGGTCTTAACGCGAGCTATCCTAATTACTCCGTCGGAACCGGGAAAGACCTCCTCGACGATTCCTAACGGCCAGTGGAGAGGCGGCGTATTCTCCTTAGTGAGCACAACTACGGTTCCTACAGCTAAAGGCTCTGTCGCTGTGTTCCATTTTTGCCGAGACTGCAAAGTATGCAAGTATTCCATCCTCCATCGTTTCCACAACGATTGCACTAACCGATCTAATAATTTGTGGCGTGTGGAAATGCTAAGTCTGTTCTCATCCATATCCGCGGCGGACAGATACCTTAGAGGCGTTAAAGTCAAAAAATGTGCTGGAGTTAGAGCCAGCGGTTCCGAGGGGTCACTAGATAACGTCCGACAAAGTGGGCGGCTATTCATTACGCATTCAATTTGAGCGAGCACCGTACTTAGCTCTTCGAAGGACAAAATTTGATCTCCTATTACTCGGTATAAGTGGCTCTTTAGACTTTTAATATTAGTCTCCCAATTGCCCCCAAAATGACTCGCGGCTGGGACGTTCAGAGACCACTCAATGCGGTTCTCGGCTAGAATGTGAGCGAACTCCGAATTATAATACTTGCTAGCTAAGAGCTCGTGTAGTTCCGATAGAATACGTTTCGCACCGACGTAGTTCGTACCGTTATCCGAATATAATTTACTTACAGGGCCTCTGCGCGATAGAAATCTTTTAAATGCACCCATAAAGCCTGCTGTGCTTAGATCACCAACGAGCTCTATATACACTGCTCGAGTAGTTAGACATACGAAAATGCAGACGTAAGCCTTTGTGGATCTTATACCACGCCCGCGAGTGAGCGTGACCTTAAACGGACCAGCAAAATCAGACCCGGTGTGCGTGAAGGGCTTTACCGATTGTATCACTCTACAAGATCTAAGTTCCGCCATTTCCGGAAATGACGGCTTGGGGCGTGCCCGAAAGCAAGCTATACATCTGTGCACCCGATTGCGTATTAAACTACGTGCAGAAAGAATCCAATAATTCTGACGCAAGATCGACATCAATAAATCGGGGCCAGCGTGCGAGTTCAATTTATGATGATAATCGACTAATAAGTTCATGATATGGTCTTTACGCGGTAAAACTATAGGGTGCCGTTGGTCGAAACTCAATTGCGAGTTGGACAAGCGTCCACCTACCCTTACAATCCCATCCTGTAAAAATGGCTTAAGGCGTTGAAAGGCGCGACTACAAGCTCTATTCGATTGTAATCTTGTAATTTCTTCAGAGAAGTGCGCACGTTGAAGTTCACGTAATACTAGCGACTCGGCATAGTTGTAATCGGATGCTAAGACATACGGACGTCGCGGTAAAAGCTTCGCGAATCGACAAACGTAAATTACGCTACGCAATAATTTCGACCAAGAGGACAAGCGGTTCGCCAGAGCAATGATTGGAGAAACCTCGCTCGAAACGTTCGCCACTAGAGCGTGCCTCTTCTCTTCCGGCGGTTGTGACACTGACGAAGGTTCGAAATCGGTTATTGGCCATTGTGAGGGATCCAAGTAAACCCAAGAAGGTCCATGGAACCAAAGCGGGTGGTCCATTATTTGCATCGGGGTGAGTCCCCGGGATAGACAATCGGCAGGGTTTTCCTTACCGGACACGTGATAAAAGTTCCGCGTTTCTAACTCGTCTTGGATCTTGGCCACTCGGTTCGCGACAAACGTATCCCAACGGTGGGGTGAAGAATGAACCCAACATAAGGCGACGGTGGAGTCGGAAAAGGCAAATATTCTTTCTATGTGAACTCTATCCCTACATGCGCCGATAACTGTGGTAATAAGCTTGGTGAGTACTAATATTGCGCAAAGCTCTAAGCGCGCCAGAGAGACAACCTTACGGGGGGGAGACTCTCGACTTAGAACTAATGAGGCTAATCGAATTTCTACCATTATTCTGGACATGGAAATATACAACGCCCCCGTAAGCCTTCTCGCTGGCGTCTGCAAATCCAACAACCGTTATGCTGCTATTTCTATCGACATTTATATGACGCGGTATTTTAATTTCTCTTAGTAAAGGAAGTTCCTCTCTAAAGCGCTGCCACAATCGAACAATGCTGTCAGGCGGCGAGTCATCCCAATCGCATTCAAATAACCAAAGTTGTTTAATCAAAAGCTTAGCGTATAATACCACCGGAGCTACGAAACCCATGACGTCCCATAATCTAGCAACGCATGACAGTATTGTGCGCTTTGTGCATTTCTCTACGGGCGGATTTACCTTAAGGCTAAACACGTCGGACTCTGGTGACCAACACAGACCGAGCACCTTGTGTGTATCGGAATCGTCGAATTCCTTTATCGCCGAAAGACGGTGTGATAGTGGGATTGTATCTAAAACCGGACGCGAATTACTAGTCCACTTCACAAGATCGAATTGACCCGATTTCATGAGCCTTATAACCTCGGCGGTGGTTAGGGTGGCCTCCTCCACGCTATCGACCGAATACACAAAATCATCCATATATAATCCGCTCTCAATTGCCCTCTTAGCTTTAGGATAAGAGGGACCTTCATCGTGAGCGAGCTGTCTCACCGTGCGTAACGCATGAAATGGGCTCGACTTTAAACCAAAACAAACGCGGTTAAATTCTAACACCATTAGAGGTTCCTTTGGGTGGAAACGATATAAAATGCGCTGGAATCTACGGTCGCATTCACGGACCCCTATGCAAAGAAACATTTGGCGAATATCGGCGGATAGTGCTATACTAAACAAACGAAAATTGACTATTATATCAAATAAACTGCCCTGTAAATTTTGCCCACTATAGAGGATATCGTTAAGCGACAGGTGAGTGCTAGTTTTAGCACTAGCGTCGAGCACTACACGTAATTTAGATGTAAGTTTGTCCTCTCTAATGACTCCGTGGTGTGGTATAAAATACGAC